CATTGAATTCAATCTGCGCACTTCGTATGCTTTAGGCATAAATCCCGCGCGCTAAAAATGCCGTATATCCCAAACAGGTGGGATATACAAGACAACAAACTAAACAAAGAATACGAAAGCAAAGCTCTTGTACTTTGCTACACAACATGCTTTACTATTCCACTACACATATCACGAAATAATCACTAAGTCTTTTACACGCCCTTACATTAATCATTTTATGTAGATTATTATTTATGATGACGTTACTTATTACAGTGACAAATCGATTCAACTCACAATAAATTCATTAATATTAACAGTAAGAAGCTGAAATCATAGCACAATACTAATATAACATAAAGGTATGTAACAGAGTAGTTACGGGAAAATTACCCCCACTTCTTCTATTTTTTCTGACTTCTGCGGCGTAAATCCCAGCGCGGCGTATTTACCGGAGTTACCCTATTGTAAACTCATCTATTTAGTAAGACAAAGATTTAATAGATAAATCTTAATTCAATAAAGGCTCTACTTTGAAATCGGTCCTTTTAAGAGCCATATATGTATATTTGTAATGTTGGAAGATTCGAATAATCATATTGGAGATAAATTATAATTATATATAGTCACACAAAACATAAGTATAGATCACACATTTTTACTTCCCCGGCTAATTATTATTATGCTAAAATCGCAAAAAAATTTCTATCAATATTGCAAAAAGAAAACATTAAAATTCGGAAAAAAACCCTGTTGTAAATAATTACATTTACAAATAATTACAATTAATCTAATCTAATAAATTAGATTCTTAGCTTTTAACAGTATCTCAAATATATTCCAGACAACTTTTACATATTAACTTTGCCAATTTAATATTAAACTGTTCTTGGAAATATATTTGAGGGGACGCGCAATAACAACACTCATATTTTTTGATCGCCAATAATTTAATTACATAATGGTAATACACTTGTAAAATGGTAGCGTTTACATTTTATTGTGTATAAAGAAAATAATTGAAATATACTGAGGAAGATCCGAACCAAGGGTTGAAACGTACATACCTATATTTTGTCTAACATATGTCTATTTGCATAAAATAAATTAGAACTATTTACACTTTATTTATTCTGTGTTGGCTCGAAAAATAAATTTATAATTTATTAATTTTAAATTTATGTAGAAATTTTGAAAAATTATATGAAGAATTTTAAGAAAAATTTTCCCCAATGTATCTAAATCAAGAATGAACTTATAATATTAATAGATCGTACCTCCTTTCCATTCACATAAAAGACAAGAGTGCTTGACGGTACTTCTTGTAGTTCATTGCTATTTAAATCTTCATGAAATTCGTTGTGATTTATGTTTCCATTGTACATATACAGGTTTTCCGTACAGTTTTTTTCCATTTCCAATTGACAATGTTATACTCCTTTCATTCGCTGTAATATGCACTCGTATCAATATCTACAGCACTAGATATAGGTATTCATTACACAAATATATTGCAACGTAAGGTGTTACTATGAAATAAAAATGTCGCGATTTGAGTAATACTTGACAATTTTGCTTTGTCAAAGTGCAATAATGATGTAATCTTCGCAGTATCGAACGCTATCAAAACAAGGCAATAAAAGTCATTATCTTTTTTAACTTGTAAGATTATATCATTAATCACAAATATACTATACTCGATAACAATTAAACACAGGTATCACGTACTACTTCTACTTATAATAATTCTGCTCTCTTTTTCAATCTGTTATCACATTTATAAACTTATTTACACTCGTGAAAGATGTATTTACGATAGACAGCAACTCAGTTTCGTTACTTACAGCAACTTCCCCCACGTTAAAGCCAGATTATAGTTAATTATAGCTGATTAAGCTGATGACTCAAAGACTTATCGTGCGCTCAACATATGTTGTACGTATATAATATATAATATATATACATTTGATATATAATATTTCGTAAAATGCGCTTATCATAGTTTTCATTTACGAAATATGTGGAATTTATCAAAAAATCTACATTAAACTTCCATCGGTAATATATATTAAGTCACTTATAAAAATTAAAAACAAAAAATACGATTAATTTTGATAGAATTTTTATGATATTGTAGATATATATAAATAATATATATACATAATACATAAATAATATATACACATATATATAAATTATATATACATATATATATATATCCGGAATATAAACTATCTTACTCCACTAATAACGGTATGTGTATACATCATATGTAGGAGTGAGATAGCTAAGCGTGTGTAACGTAATAAATTTATAATTCGTCGGAAGTATATCATTACTATACTACTAATTTGTATGTACCTCACAGAAACATTATTCTGAAAATCCATAATTAATTAATTAATTTTATTATTAAAAAGACTGAATAACGTGGCTTGTGTAATCCTTTCAGGGAACCGGGCTTTTAAAATTTTTATTCGAAATGATTTCAGTAAATAATAAAAATTATTATTTAGTTCTAAATAACAGTATTACATAGTAAATAACAACAAACATTACTATAAAATTAACATTAAAAGATTATTTTTGTATGATAAACCTGAAAACAATCAACTTACACAGAGCCTAACATTACATTCTTTACATTGAAGTCTAAATCTTTTGTTTGCAATTTTCTTCTCTCCTGTGGTACAAACAATACATCTTTTTTATACTTTTGGATGATTTTTATCTTTTTCAATATAAAAACGAAAGTGTCTAGCTGTCTTAAAGGATCAGATAAACGAGACTTACCAATTACAGATTTTCGCTCTGAATCATACTTTTCAATGATACTTTCAATTAGTTGTAATTTGGAATCAGAAAACGATAGATTTAAAAGATTTTTTATTTTGAATAGAACATAATCATTGAAAATAGCAAGATCGATCAAGTAAAAAGCTATTTTTTTTACCTTTCTACGGATGTATGACGAAAATGAGTGATGACATATATCGAAATGTCAGAACCTATATATGTAATTTTAATTAAAATGTATTCCTAATTAAACTTTATTCATTAAAAAATATTAATTCGTTCTCTCTCTCTCTCGAAATGTTCAAGATACTACACAATATAGTACGCTGGTTTTGAACCATATTCAAAATAATTGTTGATACTCAAAATAAATAATTCTGTATGTCACTTGATTGCAATTATTTTCAAATCTTATTCATATTTTCTATTGATATCGTCATACACAAATTAATAACAAATTAATTTATATGTAGTAATAAATATAATATTTGTGAATTATAAATTTATTTGTTAAGTTGATACTATAATATCAAACTAATTCGTAATAAATGTAAATAACGCGCAATATTACGCCTATACATTACGCACAATGTCATTTGTCTGCCAGTAAACGTGCATGATTACTAATACTAGATTTGTTTTTTTATTGTTGCACTTGAACTGTACTATAGAACTTTCCTTATCGCTTTTGCTACATCGAACATATACTATGTCACTTTAATAAACATATGAGAATATACTAACTTATGCTAAAAACAGATCTAAAAAGACATTCGATTTAGACGACCGTTTAATCATAATCTGTAATTGACTAATTTTAAATCTTTATACTTCAACTACTACTAAACACAAAAAATAGTAAGTAACTCTGTAATTTATTTTTTTCAAGAACTCTCTGCTGTGATATTTTGACTCACGAATTTTGAAACACCTCAGCTTATATATCTAAAATACCGTTTATGAACTTTACGAAAGGTTGTTTATAAATTTCGATGTATTAAACTTCCTATGTCCTCAATCAAAACATGTACATATATATGTACATATCGACAAAACTAAAATATAAGATAAATTTAAATAATCGCGATTATTATCTTCATCATATCGCATTTACTTGTATTCAATTTATTCGCATTCAAGATTACCTATTACTAATTTATAGAGTATGGAACGTAATAGCAGGAATGTTAAGAAATTTTTACATTTTTTTAAGTGTAATTTAACTTACATACCAAAATCTATATAGATCCTTTTATAAATTAAAAAATAAGATTTATTTAAACAAGTAATATCCTTATATTCTTTTATTGCAAAAATTTTACTATTATAAAAATTTCTTTTACTATTTAATTACCAGAATATTTGTGAATAATTTAAGAAATAAGTAATATAAGCAAATATGTCATTTAAAATTTGGGATAAAAGGAAAACTCAGTTATAAATGGGTTATGAAGTCATTATTAAAAATCGAAACAAATATTAGGAATGTAACATCTAATTTTTACATATATTACGTATCGCAATGTCGCAAAACGATATAAACGATATAAATTTCTGCGAGAAATAATAAAATTATTCAAAAAAAAATCGAAGAAAAAAACTTTCAGACAAACACACGTGGCGCAAGAAGGTCACAATTGCGTTGGCATTTGAATATCAGGAACGATTAGATTAGATGAAATCATATGCAGCAATCAATACATAATATTTCATCAAGATCGTTCACAATTGAGTAATACGTGACATCATCTGTATAAGTATGTCAATGTGACGCGGAATTTTAATTGTAAAAAAAACTCACGTACAGTTATGCTCTTCGTTTTCGTTTAATGGTATTTTATCTAGGTGTTTGTATTGTAATTGGCGTTGGTATTTTACCTACCAACGCTCGTCCAATGCTATCGCACTCACTGCACGCACTAAACTAGTTGAGGATCGACAATAAGAATATCGCAAGGGTTATCATCATGGGGAGATAATATATCTATTGACTGACGTATTATTGACGAACATGAAGTCTCACGAGAAAATAAGTTGACCTCCAAGGACTTCTTTCAAAATGCACTTCTCCGAACTTTGTCGAATAGACTTGCCGAGAGCAAATAATTTTTATTGGATACTTATTAAAAGTTAAATCAATCAATTTATTATAGATGCGAGGAAAATTACAACGAAAAGATAATCTGTGAATAACTCGATCGAAAAATTCTATCGTGAATTACACAACCGTTTTATCGTAAGGGGGTCGCGATGCTAGAATGCATAACATTCCAAAATAACATCCACATTGGTAACATAACGGCAGTGGCGACATTGTAGAACCAATTACCGTATATCATAGAATCAACAATGCTAAAAACAAGTGCCTGCTTATTAGCGCGATAGCTTCTGAGAAACAGGGATGGAATAGGATCAGTAGGAAAATTAAGATACGTGTAGCCCATCACGACAATCGCCGACGAAATAAATGGATGCAGCATGATCCATACGATATATTGGCAGCAGCGGAACCTGTAAAAGCGAAACGTTAATTTCAAACATGCGAATTTCAAACAAAATAGAGACTGTATGCGACAGAACATGAGAATCAATTTCAATCCCGCTTACCTGGACGCAGATTCATGATGCGGTGTTATCAAAAATACAATTGGTACATACACAACGGCCGTCACTAATGCTAATGAGAAATTGTGCATAGCTATACACATTAATGCCGTAGCTATCTCGATTAAAGCAATAACGAATACAAGCAATATATTTTCATATTTGATTGATCTACAAATTATATTCATTAGTAAAGCGCAATTAAATTGTGCAATACTTTCTTCTTGTTTTACCTCTTCAGATAAAAGCGCCCAAATACCGTGAGAATCGTGATTAAGGCAAAACTAATGTATAATGAATCCTCTGTACGTAGATTCAACATCTGCGATCCGATTGAAGTAAAAATTCGAGGAGAAGCCATTATTAGTACTCCAAATATGTGCGCCCATAACACTTCAGAAGCGATACTTCCGATGTCAAATTTGTCGACCTGTTTAGTAAAATAGAAATATTTGTGGAATCATGATAAAAAATATATTAACTAAATATAGAATTTTGCTACCTTATTTGATAAACCTTGTTTATTCTTTTTTGTATCATTCGAATTATTCGATGTCTGCAATCTTTGCCAAATAGAAAATGCCTTTATAAACAAACTAGCGATTATTAGTACCAAAGGTCGCATATATAATCCTGCAAAATCGTTTTTATTTATTCATTTACAGGAGTCTAAAAAATTAAAATGTATTCAAAAGATATTTCTTTTTCTTACCAATAGAAATGTATCGATCGGTAGAAGGTAATAAATAGAAAAAATACGACTGATGGAAACGCTCTAATAAATTATTAAGTGATCTCACTATACTTTCTACTATGCGTCCTACTTGGTAAAAATTTGTTCCCGTTTCTTTTCCAGATTTTTTGAAACCTTCTAACGTAATGGCTTCAATACCAAACCTAAAGGCAATTTTAGTTAAATGTGAAAAATAATATTACTAAAAACATAAAAGATTAAAATCTAAATATACATATTATATATTACATGTGTTAAATAAAAATATTTTTTAATATAATAAGTCCCAAGTAGCACAGCATCGCTTGCAAAGTGCTAAAAAAACAATTAGATATGTTTCTACTGATTTATTTTGTCCAATACTATATATACGCACATACACCTCTTTCTTACTTTATTTTATAAATTGTACCTATGGAATAGTCCATGATTACCAGTTGGAACTCCAGTAGCTTGCGTCGCTACCATGCTCATTAACGTATTAAAATGATACCACCAACTTTTTAATTTATCCCTGTAATTAACGTCAAATCGACGTTGAAAAGACTGTTGAATGCCTTCTTTAGCTATCATGTTTTGTGCTAAGTTAAAAAGATCTAAATTGGGAAGCTGTCCATTTAAACCTTCTACCTAAGAACAAAAATTATTTTATAGATATATAATAAAGTATATATATATATAGTTTTCAAAACCTATGTACCTTAACATCAATTGACGTGATTTTCATTGCATGAAACTCAAGATTAATAGCAGCTTGAATAGATCCAGCTCTGCCAGATAAATCTCCTGCTATCAAGATTCCTTCCTGGCCACTGGTGGACCCATGATATGCATCTAGCCATGCTTGCATACCTAACTGCTCATGTTCTGTTACAAGAAATATTATATCTTTTGCCCAATATTTTTGTTCTATAAATAAATTATCAGTTATTAAAAAATATACTTGGATATATAATATATTAATCATTAAATAGTAATTTACAGAGATTTACTTCTGCAAAACTTTGCGAATGCAAGTAATAGAGCTACCGAAGGTGCAGTATCTAAATATATGCTATTTATAGGTCTATATGGCACACTGACTACAATAGCTTCGGTACTGGATGCTCGCGGAGCTCTGACAATACCATAAACATTTTGTCCTACAAACTGTAAAATTTTGCATATACATGTGTAGAAAGTGAAAGATTATCATTTATTTTAAAATTATATTACCTTCTGTTCCTGAAATGGATAAATTAAAGAAAAATTATGTACAAATACATCTAAATGAAGCTGACTGAATTTTGCAGAGAGCCATGCATAAGGCATATTATCTGGATGTCTCTTCATCTCGTGACTAAGTTCATAGTAATACTGCTTTGACGTTTGTTCCAGGTTACTTTCTTTCGTGACTAATCCAGGTAATAAAGCATTCTCAGAAAAATAGGTATCTAAAAATTAAATTAGTTTATAAATACGAATTAAAATTATGGCATTATGCCTTTAATTCTTAATAATTTTTATTTATAGAAAAACCACACATACTGTCATTAAACGCCGGTAACGCTAGGAGCATTAACCATACAACTCCTCCTATATATAATACAAAGCACAATGGTTTCTCCCATTTTAATAATAATTTTATGATTTTGCCGGTTCCAGCTCTAGGATCCGTAAGTAAACCCATCTCATTTGTTTTACAGGCAAATGGAATTCAAAATTAAAAAATGCAATGCAATCACTCTTCACTTCCTAAAATGTCAATATTCTAACCTAAAATCTCATATACATCAAAGAGAAACCTGAGAGCGTTCATTGGCTGTGTTCCAAAATAGACTGCTAGCACTGAGAATCTATAGTGCACGTGACGTAAATTGTAGCATTTTCAGTGCTGGCAGTAAATTTTGGAACACGGCTATTGTTTCTTCGTGTGTGCATTCTATTTAGCGCTCACACGCTACAAGCACGAGTAATATTATCTTTGTTTAACGTTTGATAAACAACAAGGATGAAATGATTCTATAAGCTTTGCGAACCGTGCGCATGCGCAGTTCGATTGTGAATATACCCTAACGCTTATAGCGCATTAACGTCCATTTTTGCAATATAGGAACTAGATACACATCTATTTTGTGAAATTGTCGATAAAATCGTAATGTTGAAAATGGATGTGATATGTGTCTGTGCTAATAAGATTTTTTTCTCTGCAATTATCATCTCTATTGATAATCAAACTTGGATGATAACATTAACAGTCTAAAATGAAAAAATTTAATTTAAATAAAAATTTTTGGTAATTATTCAGAATACCTCCCTCACCTCCGATTTCGATAAAATTAGGCTCATTCGACGCGTTTTTGCATGAAACGAAAGAATCTGGCAGAAAAAAGTGTCGCTCTGCCTCGCGAACCGAGATATTTAGCGTTAAAGTTGACGACTATGGAGGTTAGGAAATCTGTCATACCGACTATGGCCGTGGTCCGAATCATGCTGACAACGCTCATGAGCATTGTTTGTCTTCGTTTAATATTTGACAAACAACAAGGATGAAATGATTTTTAAGCGTTGTGAGCGTGTATCGGACCGCGGCCTATGTGTAATAAATTAAACGTATGTAGTAGTGCTTAGACAGTGTCCGCTTGGAATATTTATAACCCATGTAGACAGTGGGGTGTGCGAGAACATTCTTTTTACTGTCTAGTTAAAAAGATTGTTCTCACACCCCACTGTCTACATGGGTTAGAAATATTCCAAGCGGACACTGTCTAAGCACTACTACATACGTTTAATTTATTACACATAGGCCGCGGTCCGATACACGCTCACAACGCTTAAAAATCATTTCATCCTTGTTGTTTGTCAAATATTAAACGAAGACAAACAATGCTCATGAGCGTTGTCAGCATGATTCGGACCACGGCCATAGTCGGTATGACAGATTTCCTAACCTCCATAGTCGTCAACTTTAACGCTAAATATCTCGGTTCGCGAGGCAGAGCGACACTTTTTTCTGCCAGATTCTTTCGTTTCATGCAAAAACGCGTCGAATGAGCCTAATTTTATCGAAATCGGAGGTGAGGGAGGTATTCTGAATAATTACCAAATTTTTTTATGTAAAAACGCTTGGCACTGCTAGATCGAATAAGAAAAACTATGAAAATAATTTATCATGTACACAAAAATATAAATTCATTCTCTGGTGGAAAAATTTTTCTGAAGCTTTACAAAAATTTTATTGAAATTGATATTTCAGCAAAAATACTAAAAATTTGCTAAAAATAATTTTTTTCAACAAAAATATTGAAAAATTGCTGAAATTGAACTGAAATTTCTCAATTGAACTCAAATTTGTGCAAAAATTTTATGATATTTCTCTAAAAATATATTAAATATTCTTTAATATTTTGCTGAAAATATTGTAAAATTGTTACAAATATGCGAAAATTAGTTTTTATACATTTATTTTTTACATAAATAATTTTAATATATGTATGAGATGATAATATAATATTTTAAATATGATCTTGTTAGTACTATACAATTATATATTTAACATTAATAATTTTTTTCCATTCGTCTACCATCTTTTTCACAACATCTTTGATCAGATATATTCCAACTATATTAGCATATTTTATGGATCATTGAAGAAACAGTTTCCAATCGCAGAGATCAAAGTACACTATCCCGCATAAAAATGTACTACTAGTGTATAAGTAAATTCGACAAGTGGTGTTACTAAAAATGTAATAGTGGTGGAGAAAATTTCATTAAAATTTCACATTGTTTCACAATAAAATGTTAGTGAAATTTTAATGAAATTTTCTCCACCACTATTACATTTTTAGTGACACCACTTGTCGAATTTACTTGTACACTAGTAGTACATTTTTATGCGGGATATGTTAAAATATCATAAATAGTGAATTATCGAATTCCGAGGGAATGTTTTTTCTATCATAATTTTATCGTGTGTTCTCTGAAATATGATACTAATTATTAATATCTATATTTTAGCACATAAGAAACTGGATTAATTAACTTTCTTTTTTTTAAATTTTAGCGAAATTCGCAGTAGTGGTAATTGAGCAATGAGCAAGACATTAATTATAATTGATGGCAATGGAGAAGAATATCGAACAGAAGAAAAATTCTATACAAAATATATTGTAGAAGATTAATTCTAAAATATATAATATCATTTATGAACCGCTTTTTGGACTAAAACAATATGCGCGTTAAACATTATTTTACAGTTGTAATATTCTTGAAAATTTTAAGCCTGGTTATTGCAGATTCATGTAATAAACTAAAAAGATGTAGTTTTGAAAAGGAGAACAGTCAATGGCTGCGGTCCACTTGACGCTACAAACGCTTCGAAGCGTTTGAGCGACCAATCAGAACAAAGAATTTTACGAATTGACTAATCAAAAAACGCTTCGAAGCGTTTGTAGCGTTAAATGGACTCTCTGCAGCCAATGTAATAAATTGGAAACAATAAGACAAATATATTTAATGTATGATACAAAAAAAGTAAAGAATGCAGAAATATAAAATAAAGTATATGTATAATGACTTAGATTCTTCTCTCTATATACTATTTATTGTTTCCAATGCTAACATTGTTCTCTGTATGATCCACAAATCTACCCAATTATTTTTGATTTACCATAATTCCTACTTTGCACTCCAACGAGCGTGTTGGATTGAGTAGGAGTTATGATAGGAACATGTTGGAGCATGCTGGAGCATGCTTATATCTTCTTTTTCAGTGCATAACACGTCAGGAATTGATTTATCTGAGTGCAAGATATCTCAACTAGGAACTGAGTATAAAGGTTTTATTAACATAACTGTTAGTGGATTTCGTTGCCAATTATGGACAGCTGCACGACTACTTCATAAAGTTAGTTTACGACACAAACCTGCATTCTGTGTGATAAGTATAAGATAATATAAAAATATAATGAACGTCTCGAATTCTGCTTTATAATTTCTATGTATATCATATTAGGTATGTCATTATTATTTATTACAATATTATATTATTATATGTTCCTATAAATATATATATGGTGTCCCAGATCGTGACAACCTTGTGCGCAGGTACCATCGCACCTCGCACGCTACTATAGGTGTCATAAGTCAAGCAGTGCGCTTGCTAGGCAGTTCTCGTTCTTTGTGCGCTAAGCGACTGCGACCGATGATGAGCGCGATTTTGGTGATAGAGCACGCGGATATATACGCTCTTGTTAGACAATTTTTAGAAATTAATACCTCGTTAATTATTGTGAAAATTACAAAATAATATAGAACTTTTCGACCCAGTTTAGTCTGCTCTACTTGCTCACGAAAGGTGTCACTCGGGGACATCCTGTATATTTTTTTAGATGTATATAGTAAAATGTTGCAAGTTCTAAAATTATGCAAGTGCATATCGTATGAATGTAAATATTTTATTACAGATCTATAATGGAAAATACTATAAGCGAAGAAAAATAGACATTACAACTGAAAACATTGTTAGATTATTGTGCAAATAGTAACTTCATATATAACGACGATATTTATTGCGCGCGTGGTATTTTGGTGCGGTTTATTAGTTTGTGATTTGCAAATTTAGTTTTGTGTATTGTGTATTTTTTTATATAAAATGGAGAGATTATCAGATAGAGAGATTTTGTCACATATTTCTATGAAATTTATATGCATTATCATAATCTTGATGTCATGCATAACTTTTTCAATATTGTATACTTTGAAGTTTTTCTTGACTATATCCCTTATATTCTGTGCGTTACATCATTAAAATTTAATTCAAAGTTTTTTATTGTTAGAACAAGAATATAAGTGATGCAGATTTTCCGGAGAAATCTATGGAACTTGCAAAAAATTATTGTAGAAATCCTACTCGAGATCGAAGAGGTCCTTGGTGTTATACGTTAGATTCTACAGTAATTGATGAGGAATGCGATATTCCTCTTTGTGATTATAAAGGTAAATATTACTGATTTAATACAAAATATAATACATGTTTTATACATATACATATAATAAGTTTTAATAAGTGAATATATATAATCGTGTCAATACGTAAACAACAAACTCAAATAGAAGTTTTAATAAATTCGCGGATTTTTTCAACTGCATCTGCATTAAAAATACGTTCTATTGCAAACATAATGTGATAGCATATTGATGACAGAAAATACATATTGTGTTTAATTTCTACAGTCAATTTGTTAAACTATGTTTAAATCTGTTTAATTTTTTTGTTTTCAATTCGCAATTATATTTTATTGCTGACTTTTTTTATAACATGATGTATAGAGTGTCTGAATTATTAACACAACGATCGTGAGTAGGTAAAGCAGACTAACTAAATAAAAAAGTCCTACATAATTTGGTGACTATTGTAATAGTTAACCAAATCTAATTCATAATTATTACAAATTAATCTTCGACTAAATATAAAAATTAATATCTTCTTATCTAATAGCATCACATGTTAAATAAATTAATAGGAGTTGAAAGAATTTTTTTCGTTTCTACAGAATGTCGAATGGCTGGAACTGCTAATGACTATATAGGTACATTATCTACAACTCGTTCAGGTCGAACTTGTGCGAAATGGTTGAATAATTATGATTTCGAACAGATACAAAGATCGAACGCATCATTGAAAAC